ATGCTCATCAGTGCTAGTTCATGATAGTTACCATAGTTGTTACTTATTAAATTTAGCAATTCTCTACTTCCTTTTATCAATGACTACTAAATCACCATGATCATTTTAATATTTTCATATTTTCAAATATAACTTTACACTATAGTAATATCTGGTGAAGCTGCAACTGAAAACAATTTTGATCAATATTGTATGTAGTTGCAATCGAATGATAATAGGGATTGTAGTCACATTTCATGTATAATACTACAAAACTGTACCTTTAAATATTATGCTGCAATGATATTGTTAATAGGCTTTTTTTGTTTGCAAATCATTACGTTCAGTGAATTATTTTTACAGAAAATTAATGTATCCTAATTAACTGTGTTTTAATTTTAAATAACATTTATCACATTATTTAAAAAATATTAACACGATGAAAGCGTTATAATTTAACTGTCAAACTCAGGAAAACACAGGGCCTAAAACACAACAGTTTTATTCTTTGATAAGATGTATTGTACTATGAGCATGAATTAGTAATTTTCAGTCACCTGGAAACTCAGCCTGGATTTAAGCTATGCAAAATCACATAAAGTCAGTTGTGAATTAATCATTAAGGTAAGCATGAATTTCGGCTAATTTTTCTTCAAATAAAGGTTTTCTTAGTAAAATAATAAAATGAATTCTATCCTTTACATAATATACTGAAAATTCTTAGGTAAACTGACGACCTTTATACTTTATTCTTATTTTATATTTCAGTCAATCCAGTGGTGAAATTTAACACAAAAATTGGGATGATAGTAAAAAAATGGGAGAGGACTAAAAAAAGTCAAACATTTAACTCACACCTTTCCGTCTATCGGAATACAGTCTGACACTGATTATTATGACTTCTAAAGGCTTAGCTTCTCGGCTCTACTTTATGCACTACGTAAAATACCGTGTACATAGATTGCTATGATGAAAATTTAATGTGGTAATTTGCTCTGGAAAATTATACACTTCTAATATTTAAATATTATGCTTTTTATATAGTATTAAAGCTTTGAGCGACAATGAAAATGTTCATAAGCTTTGAGTATCATACAACTGACAATAGTCAAACTATATTACATACCTACATACGTCAGTTATCTCCGACAGAGCATAGACCACCGACCTGTATTCTACAACCTACTCTGTCCTAGACCTTCCTTTCTGGTTTCGCCCAATTGCTTCCCATTCTTCTTACACCTGTCCTCATTTCTCAGTATAATGTGTTCCATGACCTACCACTTTTCCTCTGGCTCTGAGGATTCCATGCAAAGACTTATCTTGTGAAGCAGTTTGTTGTTGTTCTTAGTGTATGTCCTATCCACTTCCAGCGCTTCTTCCTGCTTTCTTTCGCTGGAATCTAGTTTATCTTCTCTCACAGTAGGCTGTTGCCGATAGTGTCTGGCCAACGCACACAAAGTATTTTGTGCAGACAACTGTTAATGAGCACTTGAACCGTCTGGATGATTGCTTTTGTAGTTCTGTCTTGACATTTGTATAGAAAATTCTGACTTTAATGTTGGCTGATATTTATTTGGAGTTCCAGATGTTGTTCAATTGTAGTAATGCTGTCCTTGCTTTACCGATCAATTTCGCTGACCAAATATGTAAAGCTTTATGCATCCTCCAAGGCATCTCTATCAAGTGTGATTTGCTTGGTGCATGCTGTGTTGTTTAAGATAATCTTCATTGCCGTCCCTGCTTTTCACTGGTCGTTCTGCTTTACGATAGTTTCTAGCGATCTACACTGTTGTATCACAAAATTGTCTCGAGTTACCTTCTCTCGCAGCATTTTACACGGACATTGCTAGATCTTCCACATATTTACGTTCGTCGGCTCTGATGTTCCTCTTCGCTTGCTTGTTTGCTTCTGTGTATTCAGCTTGTACCTTGACTTTCTCTGCTCTTGTTTGACTGATGTTGATTGCTGCCTTCTTGTTCCGCCTTTCTTGAATCCTATCTAGGTTATCAACGGTGATCCATTCTTTGTGATGGTGCGTTTTGTGGCCCAGGACCTCATGACACGTTGAATAGATTGCCTCCTTGATCCCATTCCAGTTGTTTTCCAGGGTAGTTTACTCCCACTGAGGAGATCGTGAAAGGCCTATAACCTATTGTTGAGGGATATCTTGAATTCGCTGAGTTCGTGAGTATCCGAAGATAGGCTTTATTGAACTGTCGAGGTGTTGTCCGTTCCATTGTACAGTGCTTCTCAAAGTTCTGTTTCATTTTGGCAATCAGCGGGTGATGATTTGAGGTTATCTGAGCTCCTCTCTTGGTTTTTACATGCTCCATTGTCATTCTAAACGTTTTATTGATACATATGTGATTGTTTTGGTTTTGTGTGATGTGGTCGGGTGAGATCCGTGTTTTTTTTATTTATAGGGAAAATGTAACGGTATGTAAAATAAATTTGCATCAATTAATATTTGATTCAAGTTCAATTGTATTGTTGGGATTTTTATATTGTATTAAGAAATCGCCCTTCCTGGCTGTAGAGTTATCAATGTGTCGTGGAGTCGGAGTCCGAGTCCGATTTTCAAATGCTTATGTGTCTTATCTGTTTAATTACGCCTGTTACCTCCACTTATTCTGTCAGAAAATGTGAAGAGTAGTCCGTAATTTAAAGAATCTATTTTAATAAATCAGTAGACACTTATTTACTTTAAACATGTTTATATTTTCACCGCAAATACCTAATCTTAACTAAGTTTATGATCTCTCCATTGCCAATCATTGAAAATTGGCTTAATAACCCATACTTTGATAAGAATCCAACACACAGAAAAATCCACTTCCAGTAGACTACCTTCTAACTGTTCAAAATAAATACATGAAACAACATGACCAGTGTAATGACAGTAACATTTTTTTATCAAAATGTTATCAAAAATCGAAACGTTATTTATTTTTTTACAACACATATATTGGTAAAGGTAAGCAACAAATGTATATGCATCACACAATAAAATGAAGTTTTGAGTAGATAGAGAAGTACGAAGAATATAACAAAAAATGGATAGAAATTAATCTGTGAAAGTGAAATAAGGATAATAGTGGGAAAAATAGTTCAGCTAAGAAAAATACAATCAGATGGATTCCTTTCATTTTAAAGAATTTCCTCTTATTTAAGTGAGGATAATGAAATAAGGTTACAGCAGAGTCACCACCGGCTTCTATTCTGAGCTTTCTGTGATAACGTTTCAAGCCAATGAGTTGAATTATCTCTAAGTTCATAATCAGGGCGTCTTGAAGGATCAAAATACGCTAGTCCTATACAGTTTTGTTTCATACAGAGACACGATGCCATATATTGACTACTGCTTTTCCCAACTAGTTCCATTCAAAGTAAACTTTTCATAACACGTTTAGAAACATACGTTTGCGATTTATTCTGAGGACAAGTGATCGAATGTAAATCGAACATATTTGACACCAGTGAAACTGTCATCCGCTCTTTCATTTATCACTTTTATTAACAAACACCCTTATGATAGTTGCCCTTCGGCTCATGCCCTTAATAATGAAAACTATGACATTTTAGTACATTTCTTAAGTTATAACATTTGATTATCTAATAAGCAAATAATTAAAATTAATACTTCAAAGTAGGAATGCTATCTTTTATCATTAACATATGTAAATGATACTTTCTGTTACGTAGCTGGTTATTCCTTGAAGTAAAATTTTAAATGTTACAAAAATATATTTACATTTATGTCATCATCAGACGAACAAATGTTAAAATTGTGATATCATAATCTCCTGATAAATACGCTAACAATAAATTATTCCATATTGAGTTGTCGAGATTGCTGAGGTACACTGAAATCACAAACCTTTCAGTGTTAGACTACCATGGAATTATTAGAAGCACTGGATGGTAATTTAGTCATAGCATAGGGCTTCTAAGCAGTGCGCATCCACGTATGCACATGCAGAAATCAATCCAAAACCATCGGTCTAGCATTCGGACAATTAACATCGAAACCACTGAATTGACATCCAATAATGCCAATATCTAATTTCAATCAACTGACGATATTGATATACCACCATCAATTGTCTTTGGTGGGTAAATATATAACAACGGAGGGAATTAAACTCCGCAGCTCATGATCTCTCACTAAAACTCTGAAAATTTCCTTTTTGAATTTAATCAGTATTGAGCATTGCTGAGAAGTCCTGTAACTAGGAAGAAACATCGTTCTAGTCCTCTCATGTTTTCAGTGATAGTCTAATACTGTTCATGTGATGATTTCGACGAAACTCGAATATATTTATTTAGTTATATTTTTATGCCAAATGTACAATGGATATTTTAGAAAGTTTTCTCACTGTGCGAGAAATACTAATGATTATTTTATCACTAAACAAGACTATTTACATCACACTTTCGTGAGAAAAGAGCACCGCATCAGTTTAGTACCAACCATCAATGTATTTATGGACTGAAAAATGGATATATATTTATTTACTTAATTAGTGAGTTAATCTCTTTAAATCTGCATGTTACGATTAGTAGAAATAAATAGACATGTGCGCACACTTAACACTTTACAGATATCAAACAATACCTTCCTGTTTTGCTTTTCAACTACATCTTTATAAACAGGAGTGGAGGAAAAAATACAATTGAGATATTAAATGTAAGGACGTAAAATCATGGTATATTTATAGAAATATTCAAAATAAGTGGAGTAACAACAAATATGTATACGTATATATGTCTGCTGTTATGAAAATAAAATTGGTAAAAATAATAATTTAAGTCAAAAAGTTAACTGTTTATCTATCACTTCCATAAATAACATTGCGGTGAATAGGTTTTCATGTATTAACTGGTAGCCTAAAATTTATACTTTTGTTCAAATTCTTTTTGTCATTTACAAATAGAGTACTAAATATTTTGTTTGACATTTCAATATTTTTCCAATTGCTGAAATCTAAAATGATATTTCATTCTGTTTGTTCCACAGATGAATTGGCTTCAGTTATAGTGAAAATAAGAGAATTGATCACAAAAACTATCAGAAATAATTTACCATCAAAATATTTACGTTATGATTTAGTTAATCAGAAACATATTCACACATCTGAAAATCAATCAAATAAGATGGACTTATCATCATCAACATCATCATCATCGAATCATAGTGAATCGATAGCATTCTCACAATCTACAGTACGACTTTGTCCAAATGTTTCGGGGTCAATATTCAAACAAGCATTAATATTCTATGAAACTACACATGGTATGTTGAGCATACTTTTAAACGACGCAGATTTACCTGCTATTCCATATTATTTTGTAGAATTTTATGATAATTATCATTTTGATTACAGTGATTTAATAATTTCATAGTTTATTTAATGTGGTTTAATCTATTCGTTGTCATAAGATGTTGGAGATAGAGATAAGAAAATTAAGAAACGGTTCTAAGTTATAAATAACAAATGATCATTCGTACTTGAACTAAAAACAATATTAGTTTAAGAACATGATACTATCGATATATGATCAACTTACATTCACGTAAATTCTTTAAATAATCCTTGCTGATGGATCTTTTAACAGGAAAACTCAAAACGAAAAGATGTCGAACTAAATCAAATTTCGTTCATTCCATCAAATTGTTCAAATGTTCAGTTTACTAATAACTCACTAACAAATGCAATACACTTGATTGTTTTGGTTCAAATAGCTTACTTGGATTGTTCCTGTTTTTAAACTTTTCACAACGGAACAATGATTACGTAATAAATATATTTTAAAATAAATGTAGATAATGAATATAACAGTTTTTGATCTGATCGATAATACTGTTGGCTTATCAGATGTACATTGACAAGCAATAAAATGGATAGATTCATCGTAATACTGTCAACTGAATAGAATACTGTGTTACGTGACTGTTGACATATTAACTGATAGCTTGGTCTTCATGGCGGTTCATTTTGCTTAGAAAACAAAGTGGGTTTCAAAAACTAACTTATGCTCTAATTTAGGTCACATTTTAAACAGGATAATTTGACAATGATTGTTAAAGTCATATCTTCACGAAATCAACATGAATTTTTGAATAAAAATTTTAAGTCATTTTGAGTCACATTTTAGATGAAATTCATTTTGCTGATTGATCTAAATGTTCAATTTGTTTTTTCACTACGTTTCTTATTCTTGAATTAACCAAAACAGGTAAAAAGAACCAAATTAACTTGAGCATAGAAGATATTTTCTCAAAAATATTAACCAATTTGTTATTTTTTATTTTTATCTTCCATGTAATAAAAAAAGTTACCCGAACTGCTGGAAGAATGGATATATTAGTCGATGAAGTGATTCAAAATTATTCATTCTCCTGTTCATTACCTTCTACTGCAACTGATTTATTTGACAATGGTAATCAATGTTTAAAATCAAATAGAAAATATCATAATACTCCTTTATTGCAAGCTTTAACAAATTCACACATGTTGTATTGTAGTAATAATAATCACGATGAAGATAAATCATCATCAGATAGTAAAATTTCCAATGTTCACTTTCATGAAGCCAGTGAATTAAATAAAACAAGCAATATTCAACAAGATACACCACAACAGTGTACATCTGCAACTAAATTAAATTATCCAAGACCACCACCGGAATTTAAATTAATTTATGAATAAATAAATAAATAGATACAAAAAAAGAGTTAATAAATCACTCACTCATTAACAAAGTATCTCACAATCATTCCTTCTCTCCTTTTCTTTTCAATTTCTTTTCTTTTTTTCATAACCTCATTTGTTTACCTAGATTGAATACAATTTATTCTTTGACCCATTCAAAATAAAAAAAGAGAGCAATTTTTTGTCATTTTTTTTAAAAAAAATATTTCTAAATAAATATTTGTTTTATTGTGTATGAAAGTATATATATATATATATATATATATATATATATATATATATATATATATATATAATAAAACACTTATGTGTAAAACCTGTGATAATAAATTAGATGTGTTTTTTTTTTGTTTTAAATATGATTAGAAAAAAAATTGTTTATTGTTTATTGAATGCATACTTTTTTTCCCGTTGCAATGTTTATTATTATTATTATTACTATTAAAAAATTTTATACTATTGTTCTTCAAGGTTCATCTTTTTCTGTATCATTTCACAATATATATCATTCTATACCTAATACGCTTATCTAACTCACACACACACACACTCACATACCACATTATACACACTACTACATCATCTCCACAAAAATCACTTTTCAATTCATGATCATCATAATATATATATGAGAAATAATAATACAAACAACAACATTGTTCACAAGATTTATCAATTTATTATTACTTTTTAAACAATTCACTTCAAGTTTTCCCTAATCATTAATATTCATTCTATTCTCTTAATTATTACGTATTACCATTTATTCATATTAGATATATATATATATATATATATATATATATCCTCTTTTTTTTACACAGAAAGAACAAAAAAAAAACAAATCCAACAATTACTTGATTCATTTCAAATGTCTTTGTGTGCATAATACCCTGGTAGAAATGTCTTGATAATAAATAAATATTTGGCACTGCTTTTTCTGCTTCATAATGTTCATAGTAATAGTGATAGTTTGAATTAAGACGATTGTAAAAAGTGCTTATTTATGATATATTTGATGTGCATTTCAATACAAATTTATAATTCATTAAGCTGACAAACTAATAACGAATAATAATAATAATAATAATATGCAATATGTGTGACGTAATTAGTCATATTAATGTTACAAATTACTTTTCTTGTTAAATTATACTGCTATTATTATTACTTATCAGTTTGTCTTGATTTCTTCTAGTGTTTCATTAATCTATGTATTGTAGTGATTAAAATACTTACATATCTATTTGATATTTCAACATAAAGACATTTAGAATTTACTTTTAGTGATAATATTATTCCTGTCATTGAAATTATTGTGTCCAACAGATTATGTTGGTTCGACACTTCACAGAGAGAATTAAGAAAAGTATAGTTATTGGCAATGTAAGAAATTCATTGATATGTTCTAAAAGCCCATTGTTATTTGAACATAATCAATGTATCCATAATTTCCATTATTCTTTTTTTAATGACGGATCTGTATTGACAATTGTGTAGTACAGATAATAAAAAAAGATACTCAGCGTAATGAAATATGCTATTAGACATGGTGAGTTCAAGCGAATGCTAAATGTATGTTTCCTTCATATGTAATTGATTTGTAGATCACACTTCAAGGATAAAATTATCATGGCATTATAATTTGTTTGCAAATAAATTTATTCAGTTAAAACAGTTCATACAATCCGAAATACATGGTGTCGCCTTATTCTAAAATGCTTGTATGCAACTAGTCATAAAGGATGAACATGATTTTGAAAGTAAAATTGATTGACTTTCAATATGATGAAGAGATAAATGATATAAAATCAGCACCATTCAACTAAACAATTTGAATTGTAGAAACTACAGAATCTTCATAATTTGAATCATATGCTACCTGGTAACTAGCTTTAATGTGTAACTTCTCATGATCTAGCATCAAATTGGGGTCAGTGGAGTTAAAACGTGTTAGATGTGAGACATCTATCTACTTCAGGTAATATGTAAGGGTTTGTCAGTACCCGGAAATGATTAAACCTCGATATTGCTACCAAAATATGCTGGGCGAATGGTCAGACTCTTTAGTGTTCATGTGCTGGGTTCGATTCCCTGTGGTGAGATCAGGGATATGCAGTACTGAGTAATCTCACATTGGATCAAAACAACCGTCTACCGCTTCGAGATTGGTGGTCTGGCTAAAATCTATTTATAATAGTTTTAAGCAATCTTCCTATAAACGTAAAATAATCAGGAAGTGCTTCAAATGAATCATGAGGATCCAAAACGACTGAGTTAGTTCTCGAATGTAGGTATTTTTATAAGTCAATATTACAGACGAAATAAGTAGAAGTACTAACTTGCATAACAATTAGGTTGTAATGTTTTCTTTTCAAATGTGGTATACATTTAGTGCTGTAATATCGCGTCGTGCTATAGTGTTTATTTAAGAACAATCAAATCGGTGACATTAACTCTCATCTTTTATCTCGTCTGAACTGAAGTCAGTGGGAGCATAGGCAGATACGACGAAGAAGAAACGGCTAGTGACCCTATCTTTCCAAGTCCTTACTATCTCATTTAGTCGGCCAACACACAAGCGATTATCTAATGGTATCCTGTCCAAGAAAGCTAGTTCTACCCTAGAACTCAGTCCTATACCCACAGTAGCGAGACCACAGGAAGCAGTTTCAGGGCTTTCAGAAACACGGAGTGTAAGTCGAGTTGGTTCCATATCCGGAGAAGACGAAAACTAATTGAGGATTTTATTCGGACCTTGTATGCACTGTTTGAAGACGCAGCCTATATTGATACCACGGGATTCCAGAGTCCTGGCTAGTGAAGCCTGTTGCCTTATTTAACACACATTAAAGGCTCCAACATGTAGTTTAGAGCATGCTTTCAGTAGACCAGGAATAAAGTTTCGTGTACTCAAATCGTTTGCAGGGTGATGAAAGAATGTGAGAAGAGGTAACCGTGGAGATAAGAGAGATGTCCGGGGGCGTAGAAAGGATTTATTTGTGACTAATTTGGTCTCAGGTGCTGTTACGGGTATGAGGGAGGTCGTCACTTCCCGGCTGCCTACACTGTGGAAGGGTATTTCATGAGTGACCTGAAAAGCAAGGTAGAATAGCGTTGGTCTTAGAGTCCTGAGAGTGTGACCGCAGAGTCCAAGGGACAAGTGCTTGAGGCCGCTCACACATGGACTTTTCATGAGAAGCTTTCAGATTTTCAGTTCAGCTGATTTACAAAGGCCTTTCCGCCGGAGATGGAAATCCATGAGGTAGGGTGAGGTATGACGTTTTTAAGGTCGACCATTTCTAACTCCTTCCCATTGTTGTGAGAAGGCATAATCGCTGCAGATGCTGGTTGTCCTAGGCAGACACCTTAATGCTGTCACACCCCTCTACAGTTCAAAGTACAATTTCGCCCTCAGACCTTGAGTTGCTGCTATTAGTCTCACCATTCTCCAATCAACCTGCCTGGCATTGTAGAATCTACAGGAACTTATTTTACAGCCAATGTAGCTCGGTTGGGTTATCACTATAGGCAAGCCTGACCACCACGTCAAGGTAGTAGCTACGGTCGGGATATAACGTAAGCAGAATTTTATTTAATTATATACAAAAACCACAATTAATTACTCAACTTATAATTAAGTGAATAACATTAAATATCAAAAAAGTTTTCAGTACGTAGTGTACTAATTAAAAATTAGCAAATTACATATTAAATAGTTTTATGGTTACCGTATATAAATTAATGACGTGTTATAGAATGAACTTCATAGTTCACTTCCTAAAATGCCAACTAGAATATTCTTGATGATAGGCTGCTAGTATTTATTGTACTTATCGTCGACATATACTGAAGACAAAATATCAATTCACTGAATTTGAGCTCATTAGCTTTTTTAGATTTATTCACTCAGTTAATATGACAGGAATTCTGAATACAAATGTCATCTGTCAGAATTCGAAGATACTAAAGATGTTAAAACTTTTAATATCACACCATTTGTCGGATTAGTTGGAAGTTATGTTAAAAAACGAGAAATACGGATTACAACCTTCAGGTAGTAGTTTTAATATTTACCTTTTTTATCTCAATTTTCAAAATCTCTATAGTGTATCAAACTTACATAGCAAAAAGTTGAAGCTCACAAGTGAACACATAAACTGGAACATGTAATATGTGTTTTTTATTATTATTGTTATTATTATTACAAAGATGATAATATTCCTAAGCATTGAACGGGATAAAGCTATCAAGTCATGGAGGAATTCAACTATCATTCAAGTGAATTTTTGTAGCCGGACAAACAACCATAATTCTTAGTTAGATCTAAAAATGCAAAATTTATTATATTCATTGTTCTATATCAAAAGAGAAAGCTTCACATTGGAAATCCACTCTGTAAATGAATAACTCAGTCAATAATATTGCTAGAATCTGTGATAATTTGTTTTAGTATCACTATTATTATTTTTCACGTCATATTAAGAATTATTTCTTCGCTATTACTGTCTCTAAAAGTCGAAGAACTTCTAGCACTTCATCACAGTTGTGCGTGAGATTTCTTATTGAACTACTAAATATGAAGATAGATTACTATTTTACTTTTTCTGATTAAACTCAGATCTTATCTGTATTTTTTTCAATCATTCTGTTATTTCAAGGACATATTCAGAAAAGTCGAGTAGTTTAAATAAAATCAGTCTAAATCAGTGGGTTCAGAAAAAAAAGAACCAATTTTTTTCTATCAACGGTTTGTGCTTTTGGTGTTTTCCTATGTTTTTCCTCCTTAATTGTAAATGATCATAAAGATCCCATATCAGTATTCCAATCATCTTTCGCCACATTATTCAAGGCAAAAATGATGTCCGCGTTTTCAATTTGAAAAATATCAGTCACCAACTGTTGTTTCATATTATTTTATTCTTCAAAATAGACATTTAATCAGAATAACTTACTAGCCATGTTTTTTCTAAATTATTTGGACTTCTGATTTTTTTCTTCGAGTTAAATCTCTTTTATTTCAACCAAATTATGCTTTTAATCTAGAAAAGTTTCTGTATTTTGAAAGTTTATTTATTTACTCATCCATTAAATGTTCACAGTCACTCAAAATAAAATAATTCTACATATCATAAAAATACGAT